GCATTGCCTCAACCTTGGATTAAAATTTTAATTAAATGCATTATAATATTAAAATTATACCGAGTGAGAGAAAAAATACTTTAAGAAATTTAAAACCAGACACAAAGCGTAGGCACTGTCACAATGTATATGTTTATGGGACCCAAGGGCAGGAGGGTCCAAACGTTAATGTATTAATATTATGTCCTTTGGCAGTGAGGACAGACGTTCACTTGAATGTCATTTTCACAAACCACAGTTGGGACGTTTTCTTTTGACTTCTCCTTGGTGATTTTTCACCGGGTTGTGCCATAAAAAAGCCATCTATCACCGACTAAAAAAAGCTCATGGCGACCATCCTCAGTCACCACCTTATAATCGCTTTCTATGATATCGTTCCCTTCCAGCACATCGTCCAAATAATTACCTGTGAAAAAAATCGTCAGCATACAGCGGCGCTTTGACATTACTGATCTCGAATTCTAACGCGAAATAACGCATATGAAATTTATCTCCAAGCTGAGGAGAGCGACGCAGACGAAACCTTGAGACCGGAGGCCCCCCGTAGCTAGCTCCGCCCACCGTAACAGACATCGGACAATAGAAAGACTTGCGTGTAATCTCCTTCTGTTATAACTCCTTGCGTATAGTAAATGTGCAATCAGTGCATTCAGAACAAATGATTCACGGACTAACTGATCCGCCAACTAAGGCTCTATTCCCATAGATTTTAGATCGATCTATCCCCGCGGGGAGTCTCACTAGATTACTTTCAGGTAATCCGACTTAAATGTCCGTCCCGCCTACTAGGCCTACAAGCTTTAAGGGGGTAATTAACTTTCGTGTCCGCCCGGCTGACAGCTCTTTAGCGTGAACCCCCAGGGAGTTAGGTCGATCTAAAGTAGGTCGATCTAATCTATGGAAATGGGGTGTAAATATTTGGCCGAACCAACTAAAAGGCAAGTCGTCTAATTCCCTGATGTTCTCCCCGCCTCCACACGCGCCATCAAACGGATTAAATCACAGCTCCGAGGTGTAATTGCAAGACCACTGCAGCGACGGCACGTGTGGAGGCGGGGAGACCGTAAGGGTTTTAGTCGGCGTTGTTTTTAAGTGGATCTGCCATATTTAGTCCGCGGATCTCTTTATCCACGTATTTACTTGTTCTGAATACGCTGATGGATATCCCACCGTCCGTAGATTGGGGAGATGTGATACTACTAGCAAATTGTCTCTTATCTTGTTGTTAGTCTTTATCGATTGTCAGTAATGGTCCGTAATGATGGTCAAATTCATGTTACACGCCTCACAAATGATGTGAATATCACCAGTGCTGGAGGCAGGAATGAAAATGGAAGAAAGGCACGTAATCGTTCGTTTAGTTTTCAGCAAGTGAAGAAAAAACGTGGTTTAGAAAATGGATGATTAAAAGATATTGTATAGTTTAGAGTCAGATGGAGGGATTGTCGGCTACTACCAAAAATTGTACTTTTCGCGCTAAAACCCCGTTTATGATCGCTTAAGCAAAGGCTTGATGGGGACTGACGTCGGTTAAAATGACAAATATAATGGGCTGTTTGCTGATATCAACTGTAATTTAAGGAAATCAAATGGATGCCAGGTCTTTTGGTCAATTTTTGTTTATTTGGACAACAATTCCGTTTAATATAACTAAGAGGTAGTCGAATCATCGCTCTTTTATTTCAACGATTGTTTTATACACGAAAGATATGAAATAACGACTTTAGATGTTAACGGGTAATTTAAATAAAATTAAGGCTACATTTTTTCGAAAATTGATCCCTTTGTGTAAGTTGAGGTTAGAATTTTTTATCTCGCCGTTCTGGCCAAGAGAAAAAACTCAGATGTGTGATTCCTTCCGAACAACTAATACTTTTTCTACGTCTCATTAACTTTGAATGATTTTGATTGGGCTACTGAAAAAAACTACGCCCCAGATTGTAGTGCTGCAACAGAGAGAGGAGGGGGAGCAATTATGACTAGCAATTATAATTAATATCGATAAATATCAAATTCTCTTTAACTTAGATGCTTATAAAACTTGCGAAATTTTTATAAAACTTCTGCCTGATTGCTGCACAGGGCGGACTACTGCTTTTAGATCTATACGAACAGATAGCTATTCCCGACACCTTTGAAACATATTTTCTTCAACCAAATATTATCCAAAGTATCAGAAGACAAAAAAAATGAGAAAAGAGAAGTGACTTTAAAAAACAACTTTTCCAGCAAATTTTCAAAGAAGTGCCTTGCCTGCTAACAAACTTCTTCGGTAGTAAAATGACTGCAATCACTCCAAAATTTCAACTTAGAACGCGATAATCATCTCAAATCCTTAGCTATCATGTAGATTGCATCTGGCCCTCCATTTCGGATATTTATTGGCACAATTTGTGGTTACTGTCACCGTCATTCCAGTGTGAAGTGAGGGGTGTGTCACATCGCTATCGCCTGCACCGTTTTTTAACAAAAACACTTTTAAATGCCATATTCCCAGAGTTAAAAATCCGATGCTGCACCACCTATATGATAAGCATATGTTTATAAGTCTTGATGGGGACTGACGTCGGTTAAAATGACAAATATAATGGGCTTTGTTTGCTGGTATTAACTGCAATTTAAGGAAATCAAATGGGTGCCAGGTCTTTTGGTCAATTTTTAGTCATTTGGGCAACAATTCCGTTTAATATAACCAAGAGGTAGTCATCGCTGTTTTATTTCCACGATTGTTTTATGCACGAAAGATATGAAATAACGACATTAAACGTTAACGGGTCATTTTTAAAATAAAATTAAGGCTACATTTTTTTTTCGAAAATTGATCCCTTTGTGTAAGTTGAGGTTGCAAAATTTTTTTCTCGCCGTTCTGGCCAAGAGAAAGAACTCAGATGTGTGATTCCTTCCGAACAACTAGGACTTTTTCTAATTCTCTCTCAATTAACTTTGAATGATTTCGATTACTGAAAAAACTATGCCCCGGATTGTAGTGCTGCAACAGAGAGAGAGAGAGCGGGAGGAGGGGGAGCTATTATGACTAGCAATTATAATTAATATCGATAAATATCAAATTCTCTTTAACTTAGATGTTTATAAAACTTATGAAATTTTTATAAAAATTCTGCCGGATTGCCGCACAGGGCGGACTACTGCTTTTACATCTATACGAACAGATAGCTATACCCCGACACATTTCAAACATAGCTTCTTCCACCAAATATTATCCAAAGTATCAGCAGACAAAAAAGAGAGAAAAGAGAAGTAATTAAAAAAACAACTTTTCCAGCAAATTTTCAAAGAAGTGCCTTGCCTGCGAACAAACTTCTTCTGCAGCAATTTGACTGCAATCACTTCAAAATATCGACTTAGAACGCGATAAACATCTCAAATCCTTAGCTATCATGTAGATTGCATCTGGCCCTCCATTTCGGATATTTATTGGCACAATTTGTGGTTACTGTCACCGTCATTCCAGTGTGAAGTGAGGGGTGTGTCACATCGCTATCGTCTGCGCTGTTTTTTAACAAAAACACTTTTAAATCCGAGTTAAAAATCTGATGCTGTACCACCTATATGATAAGTATATGTTTACCCGGTCGTCAAAGGTGTAAAGATTCGATATATCAGCTTATATCTTGTTGTCTTTAGAAATAATTGAAGAAAAATGTTGAGAGATAGCAGATTAATTGAATATTTTGATGAACTCTCGATCAATCTGGGGTGCGACCTTATTGCGGTAATTTAATGGGGCGTCTATTAAAGAACTCGAATCATATGATCTCATTATACATCCACATAGATATTCCATTTGTTACAAAATTTTACTAATAAAATTGCAGCGTGAATAGTAAAAAACATCCATTTTGTCGTTATAAAACGCAAAGTAAAATGATGCTACGACGGATTTTGATTATGCATTTTAAACATAATTCGTTTAAATTATTCATACCTTATACAAAAAAGGAAATAAAAGAATAGTATAGAAATTCATATTTGAAATCCAATTTCAACATCATTTGGCTTAAATTTCAGATAACTCTTATTGCCGGCATCATGTTACAAACATCTTTTGTTTCTGAGGTCTTCAGACTGGATCTGTCCCCCGTGGTTGCATAGACTAATCTCTCAAATCACATCGTATCATTGTTGATACTATGTTTATGCTAGTTATTGGGCGTCTCTTATCAATAAAAACATTTACGTGGTATATAATCGCAATTACGGTGTAATTCAGATAAAATTACCAGAATCAGCTGGGGTCGTTAGCGCTATCTTGAAGAGTCAAGCTCTCCACAACATGCAAGGTGATTACAGCAGCAGGTATAAAACACCACAACTTTTCCGGCTCTTCACTCACAGTCCAAGCCATCCTGCAGACGACTTCGAGTTCTATCTTTGCTGTACATCAGATCTTCAACAAGATGATGAAGTTTGTTGTCCTTGCCCTCCTCGTGGCTGTTGTGTCGGCTACTTACTACAAGCCAACAGCATACAGACGCGGGTAAGTCGCAGCGTCAGGTTGTCTTTTCTTTAAATTTTTACTACTTAGACGTTGGACTGTTTCATTTTTGAATTGAGATTAAATTGATGCATGTAGCAAAAATGATGCCAATTTTACAGGAGAAATCGCTCAAAAAAACCAAAGCCTACTGACTGTACAAACTTAACTCTCCTCCCCTTTTCTTCTTAGGTACCGTGGCTACGTAGGGGCCTACGCGGATGGATACAAGGGTAACTATGGTTACGGCAGATATAGCGGCTATGGGTATAACTACCGTGGAGATGGTTACCGTGGCGTCTACCGTGGAGACGGGTTTAAAGATGGATACTTCCCAGGTGATGCCGGCTACTATGATGCCGATGGTTACGGCAAAGATTACAGAAATTCCGGCTACGACAGCAAAGGCAAATACTACCCATACTAAGGCAGATATGAATAAAAAGGTAAAAAGATTAATTAATTCCATATTTACTCTTTTCGCTGTACCATTGCATGTCAATTTGGATATCTCATCCAAAATTTGAGTTAGCTTATGAAAAAAACTTGAGAGCAATTTGAAATTTTGAAATTAAGAAAGGGACTATTATAGCATATTACTTTGATATTAGAATCGTGCCCCATCCCAATTTATGCAGTCTATTGAAATATTACTGGTTAAACCATGCACAAAATTACGAAAACAAGAAACGCAACACTGGTGATAAACATTGGTCTCTTTTGTACGCCCCTTCATCAAAGCGAGCTACCCTTGTCATTTTGGAGTATGTTATGATATAAAATAAGATCATTTTCTTTTTTAGTACTTGCGTTACTTCAAAGCATCTTGACGAGAACATTGCAACATCGTCTTCATCGATAAAGTCATCATAGCAGTAGGGCATTCAAGTCCACAGCCATCAAGATTTGGCTTTACCGACACCACAGAAATAATAGAAAGTTTTTTGTGCGTTGAAAATGGACCCTTTGGAATCCAAGTTCGTACTGATTGCTCATTAATGTGAAATGATCGTCATTGATGTAATAAAATTTATAAACAGTCCAAACGCCGCTTATTCTTTGATTCATATTTGGCAAGATTTGACAAACAAACGTACATTAATAACTGGCTACTGCTTACTTGATGCGATCAGACTACTGAGACAATACTAAAAGTTAAGCAATATTCAGTATCAACAACATAACTTGT